AATCACCACAGAGGTAATGACACTCTGTAATCCTCAGTACGACCACAGGTATCACTAAAACATATGTGCTCCCAGAAAGAATTTCAGATTCTTGAGTCATACGAAGTATCTGTGATATGCCAGCCATTCAATATATTGTTCAAAAACATTTCTCAATTTTCATATGAAGCAATCCACTCATAGGAAAGAAGAAGAGAAGGAGAGCAGAGAAATATAGAATCAGATTATATTATTGGAAATATATGTATCCTTGATGAATGCCACTGTTATGTTCATTCCGTATACTTATTAAATTCAAATTCGAATACATAAAAGAAAAACTAATATTCGCCCATTATATTTGTTAGCCATCTTCAACACCTTATATTCCATTCAATCCACTTACGGCAAGTTATGTAGTTCGAAGCGCGTTTTGTACCAGAGGTTGTGAACATTTTCGATTGTACTGCATCCGGAGATTCTTCGATACTGTTCACTTCCCACCCCCCCCCTTTCTTCGCTCCCTCTCCTTCCATATATTTTTACGTTTGTCCCATTGCTCAGCATATTTTGAGACACGGATCTGATAATATGAGAGCTTAACATTTTTAAGTAAGAAAAGTAATTTTTCAAAGATGAAATGATTAGGAAAGAGGTCACTTGATTAGAACATAATCCTTCGAAATTGTGATCATTAATGAATGACGTGTTCTATTGGCTAAAACCGTTGGATTTGACAGCTTAACAAATCAACTGCACCTAAATTTGTAATACCACATTTTTCATAAATAACATGCGTAATCTTTTACACATCAATATTTTATCAAGCGAAAATATTTGAATTCGATAGCATTCTAAATACATTATTCATATGGCTGCACGTACTATTAATAGAACGCGTATTTATTCAGTCAGATATCGTGATCTTAAGACAACCACTCGGCAGAGGCTGAACGGTCTCTGTGGTAGCTCAGAGATAGAGCCCCAATCGGTAATGGATACGTCGCGGGTTCGATTCCCGTTCGCGGAGGGAAGTTTTGCTCGAGACCGAGTGGTGTACCAATATCATTAATGTTGTGAGCCCGAGCCAGGCTATGATCTGGCTTGTATCTATTATGGAACGTCGTTATATGTTTTACTGGCTGTATTTGAACCGGAAAGATTTAAGCTGGCAAATAGGACAGTGTGAAAATAGTGAAGTCAAACAAAAGTAGAAAACTTATATTTGAAATAATATTCTTATATATAAAGAAACTTAACCACAAATGGAGTCAACCGGTGAGTAAAGAGGTTGCATATTTTTAAAATGGTATATTCTTTCTTTCTGTTCGTTCTTTCTTCCGTATTCATTCAATGAAGTTGTGCTTTGATATGTTTCAAATAGGCAATGGAATAGAGGAGAATCGAATGCAAATTGAAGAATATGTTTGTATATTCCATTAAATAGATAAATTCTGCTGAACGGATCATTCAGCATTGACAATAAAAGAAAATCAAACAAATCTGAATACGTTCGCGAACAGAATACATTCAGTGAAACAATAATAACCAAACGGATAAACTCGGAATTCCACCAAAAGTTTAGCTCACTTTATAGCTAACTAGCAGATATGGCTGAGAAACGGCTGAAACGAAGAGGCATCGTCACTACAACTAAAGCTGTCTGTAAGCCTCTAGAAGGATGATGTGTACGAACCGAAAGAAATTACTTGCCGTTGCTTTGTGCAGATATGTAATGATGACAAAATGTATTACTGCAGCACTCTCCACGGTTTGTGTCTATCCATTTATTCGCTGAACTAGTCTCAGGCAAACATTAATGCTAAACATGAGTAACAACTACTCACATAGATAATATTTCAAACTAATTTCATTTTCGATGCTGATCGAGTCCAACTACAAACGAAAACATATTCGAAAATTGGTATAAGACGACGACAGAACGATTGAGAATCCATCAAAAATCCTTGAGAGTGACTGATTTCAAAGCATATATTCGTTTGAAGTATGGATTTATACAATTCCATAAGCAATCTTTGTCAACGTCATAATATGCTTGCACTTAATCGAATGCAATTATCACTCGCTGATTGAACGCTACAGATAATTGCTGAACGAACTGTACGGAAAAGATTAAAAACAAAATATCGAAAACATTAACTGATACGTTCTGATACCACTAACTAGTGTTGCGGGGAAGGAAAAAATCCGAAATGAAATTTGCAGTCAAAGACCCCAAAAATGCAGACGCTTTGAAAAAAAGTCGAGGACGGAGAACTTTAAGACAAAACTTAATCTCGTCTCCGTCCCCGATCCCCAAATTTTTCTCGAAAATTTAAATTTCGAACTGAAGTCAGTAAAAGCTTGAAAACAAAAATATGTGCCGGAAAAACACTGGAATGAAGCAATTTATAGAATAGAACAGAAGTTACCACAAAGCCATATGACGGTTTTAACAAAAGCGTTTCATTGAATCACTTGAAAAAACAAACAATGCATAGTATTTGGCACTCTAAGATATTCATCTTTGTAAGCAAAAGTTCTTCCGATCATTACTATCATCAGTGCAATCATTATCACTCCTACTATTGTGATATTATATTGTTATCATTGATATTCTCATTTGTAAGCTTAGTATGAGTTTGGTGCATAAGCTGATGTTGAGGTTGAAGCCCAGGTAAGGTTAATGTTTAGGCTGTGGCTGTGGCTGAGGCTGATGCTTGGGCTTTGTCTGAGAGTCACCTCTGGGCCGCGGTCGAGCCTCAGGTAACACTGTGTCTAACCGTGAAGAAAAGTTCTCCATAGCAATTAGTTTGAGGCAAGTTGTCAAAGGCAATTGTAAAGCGCAGTTGTCCGTGAGACAGCTTCACCTGGGACAATTGTCTGGAGGCAATTGTGCGATGAGCACTTGTCTCGAAGGTCTCGAAGGCAGACCTCTCAGAACCACATAAAATATGCGAACTTAGTTACTGAAATTGCTTCGAATTCACGTTTCTGACAGTTTGATCTGATTTTATCAACATTCGGGGACACTTCAGGGAATATTCCGAAATTTTTTAGGGATGTGAATCCCCGAGGATTTCAGAAAAATCGGGGACGAAATTTACAGTCAGTGACCTCAGAAATGTAGCCGTTTTGAAAGATCTCGAGGATAGGCATTGAGAAGTAGAGAGAAGGTGTTCGAAGTTCCCCGTTCCCAGCAATAAACCGTCACTAATAATACTCAAATGTATTTATGAAAAGACAAGATGAGAGCCATTAAATTCGTAATTTCCAGGACCAGTTGATGTATTGATCAAATGGCGATGGTGCTTTAAGATATGATTCAGCGATAATATAATAAGATCTATCCTAATTGTGCTGGATGCATTTCTAACAGATGTAATCGAAGAAATTTTACTCGAATGTGTAATTTTTTGCTTTTAATCCATTTATGGTTTCATTATTGACATCAATCATTCAAAGATATTATTCTAAAAAACACTCCACACAAATTATCTCCAGTGTTTAGAAACGCTGAGCATTCCGCATCAAATCATCAATACGCAATTAATCAACGTTCTCAAAATGTTTTTGGTGCAAATGTTCTCGCTACAAGTTTCCGTGAATGAGCTCTCCAACTGAGTGTCACACATCGCCTTTTTTAAAACTTGATTTACAGCGCCTAATGGCAAACACTCAGTGCTATACGTGTAGTATATTCACTATCTTGTTCGTATCCGCGATTTATTTCGCTATATATACCACGTTCAATGAAATATTATACATACAGTAAGTACATCTTGGTGAGAATCCGCTTTCTGAAAATTGTGAACTATACGCAAATACTCGTCCTCATGATCCTGCGAAAACTTGTAAATGTTCACGTTCCTATCCACTGAATAATTTTAAGAACATTTTATCAAGTTTCTAAACATTAATTAGCACTCGTCAGGAAGAATAATGCCGCTCAATATCACTTTATAACACATTTTCAATGCCAAAAGAAGTGTGCGATGTTTCAGTACTAGTGATCTTTCTATTCCACACTTTGACAAAATGCTCTGTTCTGTTCTATTTCGCCTTTCTACTGTTCTGTTCTACTCTATTCTGCGGGTCCTTTTTTGGAACTACTTTTTGTGTTTCTTGAAATAGAACATTTTGACTGGAACAGAAAGATCACTATTCAATATCGATGGTTCAGTGCCAACAACTTCAACTTTTATAGTTTATAATGGTTGAATGTAATAATTAAGTAATTCGTATATGATGTATTAAAAATAAAATGAATTGTTGACGACTGATGTGATTAATGCGTTGCGTATTTGTCGTTTCAATTTTGTTGTTAATTTCATGCAATGCAAAGATTCAGTGCAAAGTTGTTGAGCCCCAAAATAAATCATTGATTGTGAATGAAAGGTTCTTATTCGATTTGCGATTTGTTTCATTTATTCAACATCTGTCTGGAAACATTCTAGTAATGAAATCGATCGCCTTCCTATTGCTTGACGTTGAATTCACATAAATATTTAGAACTGACCTTGGATGGAGCTAAACTGTCAGATATCTTCAATGATTGTTTTCGGGAAGACACAGATACTAGTTTCAAAAAAGTACATGCAGAACGTCAGTCTGAGATAGTACAAAATATCCAACCATAGACACTATTTTGGGATGGCAAAGTATAGAAAAGAACAAATGCCTCGAAGGTCAGTAATTGGAGGATAAATACAAGCGTCAAACAGCTCAAAAAATCTACCAAATCGAAAAGATAGAAATAATAACGTGCAAGATCCTATTTGTATGATGAAAACTGAGCTTCGGAGATCGTAAATGCTCATAGTGTTATTATTATGTAGAACAAAATTTCTGAATAAAGATTTGTTCTGGAATCCTTATCTGATGGCTAATTTTAAGGACATAATTGGCGCCAGTTATTCCGAATAATCGAATGGGTCTTATCAATTGAGTGGACAATCAAATGAGGCAATCGTCAATACAAACTGAACGAATGCGTTAAAAAGACAACGTAGTCGAGCGATTTACGAAGTGGTTTTGGGCAAATTATCTGATGAAACTTGAAAGGAAACAAAACGAACCTTTTTATCGACGTGCTTCTTGATCACAGTTTTGGTCTTTTTGACTTTTGTCGGTGATCGTTTAACTTTGCCCGGCTCCAACCGTTCTTTCGGTAATAAACGCAAATCAGCAAGATTAATTTTACCTAAACCCAACGAAACTCCTCTGGCTGCAGCCAACATTTTTCAGTAACAGTTTGTGTTTCACAGTGATACGTTGAAGTCATTTGATAATGATGCATATTATCGTTTGAAGCTATCACAGTTAGCCATTACACTCTTTGGAATCGACTGTGAGCCAGTGTTTGAATCAAGGAAAGAGATAAGCAACAAATAGGAAATGGTTACAGCTTCGAAGTATCCTTTCAGGTTACGACTTCTGAAAATCAGACGCCGTTATGAACGATGAAAAAGCACATAAATAGCGGTCGTATCTTAAACAGTTCAAGGCGATAAGCCTTCGATGAGCATGAAATAATGTTAGCCATATGTCAGACGTGTCAACTGCTAATCAATCAACATAATTAATTTAAAGAAGCAGACCATCCATTTTAATTGCTGAAAATAAGGAATCCTTTTGATTGAAACTCAATATTGGAATATGAAAAAATCTCAAAATTTTCTGATGACTAATTTAAATTGCAAACAAGAAAGCATTCAACAATTTTGATTCTCGCTCAAGGCACTGCCTCTAAAATGCTCTTCAATGCATCATAAGAAATTCATGAATCTGGCATCTGAGTCATTGACTACATTACTTGAAAAAAAAGTTGTTAATTAGTGCTGAAATAGACAGAATTATTCGAAGTGTACTTTTCGAATTAGTTGATCGCTGAAAATAAAACAGAAAAGATCATATAGGTAAGGCATGCAAGTAAGGATATGTGAATGTCAGTGCAATGAAGTTCGTTTTTAATTGATGTGTACTTAGATTTCGAACCGTCGGCGATGTTCCACATTAGGAAGTTGAGAATAAATGAAGCAAAAAGCAAAATAGATAATGTAAAGCTGTGGAAGGTGAACATCAAAGAGCACGGAGTAAATAGAACGTGAGGATATTCGCTTGAAGCAAGTCGCTGGCTGCAATGCTCACAACGCGAAGCAGTTTTCCCATGAGAAATAATGTAAATCTGATTGCTTCTTATCATTATTCAGAAATATTGTCAACAAAATGGACCTCACATACAACAACTACAGCTTAAAAGCTATGGAACAAAATCTATAAGAATCTCATATGAGAGGAACATGTCCTACTTTCAAAGAATAAATTATGAACGAGTAAGAGAAAATTTGAGCTCGATTAACATCACTGATCCTTTCGTAATTCTAACACCGTTTCTGATTGCACTGAATAGTGAATTTCCTCGAAATCATGAACTCACTGGATCAACGAAAATATAAACAGCTCGAGGAGTGAGGATTACTTGAAAATGTTCTTTTAGCAAACAAGTGGTTTCTGGTGAACGCATTCTGTGGGCATACTGTAACAGAATTTTACAACAGTCGAATCTTTGTTGAGATGAGCACGCTGAGAATGTACTGCAGTATCCTCAGTATGGTCATGTATATTCTGAGCCTAATGTTTGCAACAGATAGGCACTTAAAAAAACCGCTTTTCACATTGTATTGAATGAACGATGGCAAGAAGAACCGTTGAATTACACTGTCTATGTGGATCAATAATTCTAAGTTTTAGTTTTTTAATTTTTAACAAATTCAAAACCTATCATATCTGAGTTAAAAAATATCATTTTCGAACGATTGAGCACTCGGCATATTAATAATATAAGTGATAAATTGTAATGGACAGTCAAGGATGATTGTGTGACGCACTCTTCTAGCATTACAGCTAAATATTTCAACTAATTGCTTCCGTATGGGCAAAACAAGAGAATTATATAATATAAACAAAAGCAGAAGTAAAGAATACCAATATGTTCGATAGGATTATAAAATAAGACAAGCGACTGATTTATCTACTTGCAAAATTACTGATAATGATTATAATTCGAAAATGTGATAATTGATTGCGTTAAACTTAAGATCATGCATCTGTTTTTTATGCTCAATTAAAAAGCAAACGCTTTCTGTTACATCAGAACTGATTTTTATCAAATTGTTTTTCAATTTCAGATTAATAGGTCTATGCTGCATTTGTGGTTGTTGCATTAGATGAATGAATGGTGGGCCTCCTTTAGAAGACAGTAAGTTGCGCTATGTTAGAATTAAGGACGGGTTTTAGAGTAGACAAATAAGAGAGTTTTTGAAAGTGTCCTCTTTGAGCGAGTTTAAGAAAAAAACGAACACGTTGACAACGACGCTGTCGAAGTTCTTATATGTTGAAAAATGACTTGCGAAAGTTTTTGCTATTAGAACCCGTTAGATACCTTCGAGAAACTTTTGTTCCATGCGAAAAACTTGGTGAAGGATTTCAGTAAATAAAGAGAAGCAGGATCTATTGACATTTTGTGATAAAAGTCAGATGTTAAGGGTGTTATAATGTATATAGACAAGAGATTCGTGAAAGATTCGTATAAAAGGACTCATAAGAGTAATATCACGCGAATAACGAAGGTAATGATGATCGCTGTATGAAGCAGGCGTTTGTCGTATGAATGAAAGCATAGGCCGCAATGAGTAGTCGATTGATTTAACAACATTTTCGTGGCTTTAATATTCCAGTATTTTTGGCTGCAATATTTTATTGCCCGAAGCGTCTCACATCGTCCTCTCTCCCCTTTTCACATTCTTTTTTACTGAAATTTAGCTAATCGCCTCTTTCAGTACGCTTCTGATTCGATCTTTTCGCTCCGCCACGTCATTGCTCTCTAACCAACTTCTAACATATTTGTTCACCAAAGTCAAACTTCCGTTTGATAAATGCTCAAGAAATATTATAATATCACATGCAATATTCAGTGCCTCACTTGAATGTGTTTGAATGCAATTCATGTGCTCCACAATATTTTATTCTTCAAATGCACTCGTTTCTTATGTGTTACAAGAATATTCATTCTGTTAATTGGTTTAATAGATTCAAACCTATTGTCGGTGAATCATGATTACATCGCTCTACTTACAGCAAACCGATCAAAATAGCGCCGTACTAGTCCAACTAGGAATGGTCCATTCATAAGAACTATAGTATCAAACAGAACTATAGTAATCTCCAAAAAAAAAAAAATTCTCGTGATGGATTGATGTTTGCAGTTGTAAGACCAAAATGCTTACTCAAGAGAGATACACCAAGATTGATGTAGTACACTAAAGAATGCCTGAACAACATATAATTCTATTGGTTTATGTCGCAACAAATCTTGTCGAGGAAAAAATTTCTGAATTAGAATTGATTCCTTTTGATGCCAAGCTTTTGTCATTCTGTGAACGCAAAACTTTATATCATATAAAACTTATCAATTCTAGTGAATTAGCTTTGCAGTTCACACTTCGTGATTTTTTAGTGAGGTATTGCGTTCTGAAATAATAATTTTGAAAAAGCAGAATTGGAGCGATGTAATAAATTTTACCCATTAAAGAGCTAGTGAATGCTTTATCTAAACGTTATTTCTAAATCAGATTCATTGATGTATCTCAGGTATTCACAATAATGACACAATAGAATGTTCGAACGTCTCATGATGAAAACTTCTTCGATTGCTGCAAATAAATTTGTTTTTTTCAATTGGTTATTCTGAACATGCTCTCTGTTCTTGTCCAGTACTTCATGCATTTCTATTTCTCTGCATAATCATTATCACATCGTATTTTAAAAACAAACATCGCATAATTTAAGTGATCAGTGAACAGAAACACTTCATACGAAAACACCAACATTCGAAATGCACAGAACATATCTGTTGGGTAGTATTAAAGAATGGACATGAACAATCCATAAAAACGTCAACGTGAATTATTATTCACAGAAAGAATGCATGAACGATATGAGCTTCAACAGTGATAACAGTTAATACAGTGATGAATAAATGATCGTAGATAGTCACTGGACAAGGAATGAGTTGGCTGTGAAATAGATTTAACTCATCTTCATGAATCGATTGCTAAAACTTGAACTGATGAAACAATTTGAATGATTGATGATTGACAAAATAAATTTACTAGTAATCGCATAAAATGGAACAAATTTTCAGTTGAATGGTAAATACAAAATAATGCATATTCGGTTTTAATTGCTTCGTTTAATTAGCATTCGTTTCAATCGATAAACTATAAAGTATGAACTGCAGCCGGCAACCACCACTTCTGCAATTCTCGCTCAATAAGAGTGAAGCGTCGAGGGTGGCGTCGGTGGTGCCGAATTGAGGCGTATCTAACATTTCGCAGCACACCATTTGGCTGGTTTCTGCTCGAGATGAGAGTAAATCTGCCTGGGGGCAATAGTTAAATTATGAAAAATGGAAGGCGGGACCGTGATGGCTCTGCAAGACTGCTTGAATGAACGTAAGTAACTCTGCTGCTTCGATTCTAACGACGACCGGCTTTCGTTCGGTTGGCTTGTACGAGCACAAATGCAAGACTCGATTGAATATGCGTTCAAGTGGATCGGTTGCTGTTTCATAATGCATTCGTAAATGGGCATACATTCGATTGCTGATACTTTAGAGCATTCGAAAAGGACCTATAAAAAGACAAATGAACTTCAGTTGTTCTATTTTATCAGAATGGCACGAAGAGCTTCCACCTTACCAAAAACAAAATTTGCAAGGCAGCCAAATGCTTCATTTTATATTTTCAAAGCTATCAAATGTCGATAGCTATGCAGAGGAGTGAAGAAACAGAAGAATGTATCTCTAGTTTCATCATACAGTTGCCATCATCCATAGTGCATAGATACTCGGGAAGGTAAAACACAGTTTCGCATTTCTTCTTATTACTTACGCATGCCAAATGTGCGGTCACACTTAAACTATGTCGATGGAGAATATACTCAAAGATTTCTTTTCTGTTTTCTGAGAGTTCAGTCCTGATAATGTTCATTAAATAGCGCTTTCAGTCATCAACGGATCAAGCGCACTTGACAATAAACGCAGTGAAGAACTCTCCCGGAGATTTTTGAATAAAAATTTCCGTCGGTAAGATTCTTAATTTAAAATTTCCGCCCTTTTCCAACATACAATAGTGGGTGATTTTCCTTGAGAAAAGTCGCTCCTACCGGGCTGCATACACAAGTTACATTACGTTTGAAATACCTTTCGAAACGGAAAATATAATAGAGATTGGTATCGCCATCTAACACATGAATCTGATCGCACTTCCATACGAAGTCATTCTGCAATGATTTAATAGGAAAATAACTTGAAATCAATTCTTAATGAATGTCGTTTTGACAGTTCATCGTGAGAAAGAGTGACGTTGGAGTTCTTATTTGATGCATTTTATTTGAAAACTTGTAGATCAATAAAAGATCTTACCTTTTCACTTTCTGCGACTACTTCAATCATTTGAGGTTCTCCAATTGTAATTGCTTCAAAATCGAAAACGCTATTCTAAAATATCGTCTTATAAACGAGTTTAAAAAAAAAAACAACACTGTTAAAGAAAATCACTTGCAATGATGCTTGTTACGTTTTTGCAGAAGCTTTTCGCAGACCTCTACTCTCTTGTCTACATAATATGATAACTCTTTGAAGACCTCTCACAATATCACTGATTAGCACGTATATGAATTTTTATCTCAAGGCAACTGTTATTAATCATTAATCAGCAGTAGATTCTGAAGTCACATTTCTGTACTTCTCGTTAGTCATTTGTTAATCCCAAAAAATTGTAAAAAACCTTCATTCTCAGTTGTTGACTTTGAAACAGTTAACAACCAATCCACTTCTATTTCTCTTCTCGCCAGTCAGTTCAAAATTCATTCATTTAATACTGAACTGCTCTTACAATTAGTTCTCAACTATATCGTATTATCGCTACCATGTCAGATTGTAGTGGTGATTTGTGTTTGTTGATTAGCTTTCGATGTCCTGTATCACCAGTGGTTCCTTTGATATTCACACTCACTTCAAAAACACCTGACGATTCACCAGTTGCTACTGTCAATTGATAGTGAGTTGCTGAAAAAATCGAAATGAATTTAAAAGCTCATAAAAATGTTGGAATTTACTGTTGATAATAATTCAGTGCATGCAACCAAGATTGTATGTTTCCGTTATCTCTAGAACACTGGTTCTCACATGAGGAAGGGAAAATTCCCATTCGGCTGGAAATCGAGGGTGTCAGGACAAATTAAAAACATTGACAAACTAATGTTTTTCTTCATAATTCTTCTACAATCTTCTGATAATTCTTTCAAAATTTTTATCTTCTCTTCTGATGCTATTAGAGAATTGTTGGTGGCGAACTTTATGTTCAATTTCCTGATTATCTTCTGATTTGTCGCCAGGAAGTAATAGACTGGCAGAAGCGAGGAGGTGGAGAGGGATGGCGGAATGAAGGCAGGAATTTTACGACTATGCGGATTGTTGAAAAAGGAAATGACAGTCTGCCATACGTCCAAAGCACGACACGGAGCGCAACGGTGCGAGAACCGATGCTTTAGATCACCTATAACCTCAATCAAAATTCGTGCATTGCACAAATCCTCCAGAAAAGATCCTCAAAACAATTCCTTCCAAAAGCATGCTAAAATTCATTCTTTAAAGTACTTCTCAAGAGAACTGTTTGCATGAAGCACGGCCAGATGAAGAAAACGATTCTCGATGTTCAGATAGCGAAAAGATTCTTGGAAATTCAAACATTCATAGGCAAATAAAACTAATGAATTCCGGATCACATGAACACGGCAATAATAAGAGCGAATCGAAGTTATTTCTCTACTCACAAGCCATCGGCGGAATATCCGGCCAAACAGCCGCAAATTCACATACAGATGAGAATGTCATCACAGTGTTCATATTGGCGAATCGCAGTTCATCGCCATTTATTGTATCGACTAGTCGCATCTGTAATTGTTTTTTTTTCTTTACAATACCAACGAATAATACCATATAACGTACAGACACAAACAAAGTGAATGAAACGCAAACGAAAAAAACAAACAAAACGGATGCATTCGAAAAAAACCTTTTGAATTTCGAGCACATTTTCATCCGAAGCCGAAACTTTCTCGGAAACAATGCGATTGAGTGGTTGTGAGGCGCACACTGCGACTCTCACTTTTGTTATCATACCAACATCCACTTCTTTCTCCTTAAGCATATGCATGCATCTACACATAGGTTAAACAAGAGTTACACACGGTAAATATGCAACTTCAAAATTCATTCATCGAATTTGTTCAAAGTGACTCTAAGTTGCATTGAATGTGATGAATAAATAACCTGGAAACTGATTATATTATCAACAGGTGTTGCATCAATAATTGACATCTGGGCAGAAGTACTGATAGAGCAGAGTGTTACGTACGGTGCAAAAGTACTGCGTTCACCGATCGTCATCGACAGAATGTACCGCGCTGGATCTCGTTTACGTGCCTTCTTCTTTGTAACTCTTGTTGGTAAACCTTCCATTTCTACAACACATTTCATCGCATTAATTTCTAATTAGCATCCTTGGTTATTCTTTTAACTGCGCTCAACATTATGTTTGTAGCGTGATTTTCAACTTCATTTACAATTTTACAATAATCAAACTATTCGAGTTCACTAGCAATTATCACACTTGATTTGCTGTAGGATATGAGATTCAACGTAAATTTTTTGATCTGATATACGGGTAAGTTTTTATTTGCCTCTTTTATCAGAAAACAAACAGCTACAGTTTTCAAGCTATTTTGAAATAAGACCTTAACATCTTGAGGGTTATAGCTAGAGATGTCTCTATTCCTGTTCTATCCCAAGGAATAGAATAGAACAGCTCTCAAATGAGGAACACACAGGATAGAATAGAAAAGAGCCATTTCTGGAGAGGAAAAGAACAGAATAGAACAGTTTTCAAAAACGTGAAATAGAGACATCACTAGTTATAGCATTGAGTAATCTTCAAATTCATCAGTCAGTTCACGTTCATGAATTTCTTTATTCTGAATATCTTATTAAATAAGATAGAATGGAAAATGCTCTACAGCGATGAAAAGGAGATACGAATTTTCCAGATTAATGATTTGAAAAAAAAAGCGACTTAAAAAAATACCTGAAAGGAGTATTTCTTTGAAGATTTCACCATCTTCTTCGATATCCTTAACACGAGAGTATTTGAGAACGAAACGATAAGGTACGTGAAGCGATTCCCTTATGAGTACTCGATCCACGAGCCAATTTGCAGCAACATTCATACCAACAACACCTCGTTTATCATAAATCGCTTGCAAAACGCTTAAACCTTGGTACAACTGCTCACCTTAACGATTGATACCAAGGATTTCGCTCATATTATAGTATATATTCATCATTGTCTTTGCACTAATTATCTCGTCCTTAACTACCTCACCTCTCACAACTCCGTCTAAACTAAATATGATCAAGAATTCGGAATACTGTGGAGGAAATGACCTCATTCATATACAGACTTTAATATTCTCTTGTGAATTTGCATAGACATGAAAAACTAACCAGTTTCATTTGATGTCACATATAACCTCAAACAATGAATACGCCCGATGCTAACAGCTTCAGTTTTGAACGCTATTTCCTGCAAACTCAACTCTAGCAATGCGTCATCATGATAGACTGAATGACCAACTAGTTTTTAAAACATTTCATTGCATGCGGTAACACTGTTTCAAATTATAACTATGAGCATTAAAATGCATACGTCATAATTGAGCATCAGTAAAATGAGTCAGTTCAGGCATAAGACGCCACTTCATCTTGAATCAAAATGAGAATTTACATCTTTCAGACCTTTGAGTAGATATTTTTTGAGTTAAAACTATAAATTAAAGATTCGATCAAGATTTTTAACACTAAAATGGACACAACTGACGTTTTTTCCATCCGATTTAAGCTGCAAACGCACGGGGAAGCGGCCCGTTTCACCGATTTCACCGAAAATTTGCAGTTCTGCGTCTTCCTTGACAATATGACGGCGATTCGAAGATGCTAATCGCATTTTACCCTCATAATTGAGTACTGCAATTCGGAGAAAATGAATATTTTCGAAAATCAGTGAAATCATATGACCGCAGAAGTTTTGCAATGCAGAGACCAGCAAATTCAGTTGAGAAGCGCTGTGTAAAATGAGCTGAGAAGTAACAGCTTGAAAGTATGACAAACTGAATTAAAGCAGAGTCTTACAGTTGAGTGGTTCAAACGCTGCTCTAAAAACTGGAAATTCGCGATAGGGCTGTACGTATTTCTCATTACCCTTCCAGCGTAACCACTTCCCGATGTATGAAACCATTCGTTCTTCTGTATCTAGGTCTCTCAATTCAACCTTATCAACGAAATAATCTGGCGACTCCCCGGATCCATCAATTTCAATCCGAATTTTCAACAATTCTCCAATATCACCAAAGTCAACCTGAAGAAATTTTATCAGTTACCTTGGCATTCGCTTAATACAAGTGTCTTCAAAAGCATATGCGCGACAATTTATTGTTAGTAAATAAGATACACTGAAAAATGTTGTACAGTAATGAAGACGAGAGGCGAATATTCGGAATTGCTGTTTCATAAAAACCAATTATCATTGAAACAAATCTGCTTCCCAAATTGTGCTTTCAAAAGCACAATTTAAATTAAAGCACAAATTGCGCCTTATTTTATGCCGCAAATGTAAGGAAGAAAACAGAGAATAAAAAGGCATGAGATTATGTTATGTAAAATACAATTATTCTTGCCCTAGAAATCACTGGGCACTATCGGAGAGTAGCCCAAAACCTCTGTGCTCGCCAAATCGGTAATCGAATTTTGAATTTCATGAAGACAGATGATTTCCAGTGGTGTTACTGTTAGCTGTGTGGAAATACCAAGAAACATAAGCTCGTTGTAATTGATATAATTGCTGATTAAGTGAATATAATTACTTGCACTGGTCACAAATCAGAGAAACATGCGGACAAGAGAGAGGAATAAAACCTGGACGAGGGAACAAGACGGAGCTGTCATTAATTTGCTATCATAAATTTTGGTCGTCAGCGAGCTACCACATGTACCATATCCAACAACACTTAGGTTAGAAGTTGTGCCACCTGTGCCATCCTTTTTACCGGTGTGTAAGATCAGTTCCCATCTGCCCTCTTCGATTAAATTAAAGAAACAATTATGATTAGAAAGAGTACATATTTTTGCATGATATGCCTTATCCCATGAGCAATGCTACAGTTTAAGCAGAGAACTAAGATGTTTCCTGTATTCACGGTTGAAAAAATTGATCGAGAATGCAATCAGTTGGCTCACTTGTTGCCGTACTGTCATCTGGAATTGATGCAATATGGTAAAAGGCAGTCGTCTTGATGATTCGTTCAATTTTCCCATCAACCTGACCACTATCAAGCCACTTACCACATTGAAATAAAAACTGCTTCCCATCCGCAATGTTCTCGGTTACTAATACACGTTCAATAAATATTCCAGCACCTGACGTCAATTTTAAATGCAAAATCCTTCACTATGAACAGGCGTAAACAGTTGAATATGAGCACATTTCAGATATCTTTGACGGAAATGGTATAGCGTTCATTAAGCATCCAGTGAATAACTTCATCATCAAATTCGACAGTGTAAACATCGGATCAGTGCCATTAAATTAGACTGTATGTTCGCCGTGCAAAAGTAACGGAAGGATACGTGAGGATCAACAAAAGTGCTGTCGATAAATTTCCACTGAGAACAAGGTTTTTAATTTTTCAACATTTGATAGCAATATTTTAGCGCTTGATTGGATTCGTTGATTGGATGAAGCTACGGTCATCTGCTCATAAATTGATGTTACTGCAACACAAACTAACTCGAAGAGAGTGAAAGGCTGGAATGATTTAAGCATTACCGTATCCAATGCACTCATGACCAATAACAATCTTCTGTAAGCAACCGAGTTCAGCAGTTTCAATATGGAACGAGTCCATATGATTTTGTTGAAACTTTGGTTCGTTTGTCTGTAACCAGTTAATATACTGAAAACAACAGTTCAACACTAAATACAATCTGACATGTGGCAATCATAAGATTATCCTCTACAGTACCGTTCCATTATATCTTTTACTGCTTGAAGCACCACTAGTTGAGAGTTAGGTCAGTGTGCATTTGCGATCATCTCAACAAGCAATTCGTTTTCTGACAACGCTTATCTTTTTGAAACTATTGAATTTCTATTTGATACAACAATCAATAAATAATTGGCAATTCATTCAATTGAATAATGCTTGAATTTTCTTCCAAATCAGTTTATTCCCTTCGACGTTTCACTTGTTATTATTCTAGTGGTATTATTAAAAGGTCACACTTACATCTTGTCGCAACAAATGCTTGCCACTTTTATCCAAGTCGCCGTGCAATATAATGTACAAATCCTTATCTGTATCTGCCGCCCACCTATTGCCCGTAATCACTGATATGGTATACGTTGTTTCTGTAAGTTCGTTTGATTATTCTCTTATGATACAAATGTTTCTTTTTGAATTTGTCACTTCATATTCCAGTGTCCATTGTAGACTTCTGTTTCTTTTTTTGAAGAGCATCAGCTCAGATCATATTTAGCAACACACTGCTATCGATAAATATTCTATTGTTAATTAAAAGCTTTAGATAATATCGGTGCGATCGCTCTCTACTTTGTGTAAGCGTGTGAAAACTGTGTGCCTAAGCTAATCAATATACGTGCATTTCACTTGGTTTTGCCATTGATTGCAACATTACTTATGGAACTTAAATGGAAAAAAAGCAATTCAATGCTTCTGAAAAATGATACAACAACCAAAACGTGACTATTCATTTGCTGTTGAGCCTTGAATATCTTATCTCATCATATTCCTTTTGCTCGAAAATCGCACGATTTGCACACAATGTGAATAAAATCTAACATGAAATCGTGAAATAAACATTCTTCCAAAAAAATGTTCATATCAAAGTGAGATGGTGAAAATGAAAACAAAAACTTTTTATTACTGTTATTTTTTTCGTTGTCTTGCTCTATTTCAGCATCCACCTCATTCACCGCTTCGACCGCAGCTCCATTCTCGCTCTTATTGCTCGTTTCTTCCTCATCGATTACACTGGGCTGCTTTTGGCACGTAGATTTGCTGTCAGTCTCTGGAACGGCTGCAAAATACACCCTTAACGCAGACAAATTGCAATGTTCAACCACTTCACTCTATCAGCAAAATATAGCATTGCAACCCAAAGTTCATTTTGAGTTTGTATCACAGAATATAAAGTCACGATCGCATACACTGATCTTGTGACTGAAGTGTTTTTCTTGTCGCGTATTTCCTCCAGGCTGTTTGAATTGCGATCGCAGCCTTTTCACGTATATCTTTTTCTTCGTCTGATTCCACCGAATTACCTTGCGTGCACTGATCGCTTTCACATCGAATTTCTGCAAACGAGCGTAATTCCGGTCCAAATCCGTTCAGTAGAAACGCACTATCGGGTCTCGAATGATGCATTCAGTTGTAATGATACGCTTATACAAACTGCTATAGCGTGACTGTTATATTTCTGACACACTGGAGCGACATCGGCGATTCAAAATGTGTATACACGTTGTATTTAACCTACTCGAATTCATAATGAATTTAACCTAATAATTCATCCGATAATTTCTTCAGAATACACCCACCATTACTGATTTGCCGTCTTACAAGATATCCTCGGAAACAAGCTTGAATTATTGTTGCAGCTTTATTTCGTACGGAATCATCATCTTTCGATGAATCAACGCTTTCGATACCTTCATCTGCCTCTTCCCGTCGCTCTTCTGTTCCTATTTCGTTCTCAACTAAACGAAAGTATTGTATAATCAATTTTCCAATGCATCGTTTCAATTTTCGTTTCGCATACATCATATAAACTCGCATCAACGCTGTGAGTACTGATAATTATATCAATTTTTGATAAATTAAAATTCTATTGTTGACTGTAAAGATGATTCGCTAAAGCAATTTTGAAGGCTTGATACAGTGAAACAATGCTGCAGCTGATTGCATGGTGGTTAAATTGAAGACATTCCAATCAGTTTCAGTATCGTTTGCAATATCATTTTAAGTCAAAATCAGAAAATATCGACCGACCTTGGGTTTCAGTAAGCATTGAAGGAGAATTTGCTTCAGATTTTCCTTCAGCTTGTTCGTGACTTGTTCGTGATGATTCATGTCCATTGCGCTCACTGAGGTTACCATTGGATTCTTCAGTTTCGTGATCTTTCTCAGGCTCCAAAATTATTGCCTTTGATTTTTGTTCGACTACGATAATAAGTTTCAATCTACTTTGATGTTATGAAATGAAATGACTCTATAAGATCTATCAGAGCTGCATAAGAGAGGTAAGCACTCCGTATGAGTCGTATGCTAAAACGATCTATGATCAAATCTTTGTTCAGCGACGAATATCAACAAAATAAAACCGTTTGATGAATATCGCCGTAAAACGACGACGATTTGTTACTTCTGGTTGTTTTTTCGCAATAAGTAACGATAAAAAGGAACAAATAACATGAGGTAATAAAATTAACGAATACTGCACTACGTTTGGTTATGCAAAATATTTACAGAAACTAATTAATCGCTCGGTTGATGGGTGGTTTTGTTCGATTGGCCTGCCCGCCTAGCCAGCGGAATGGCGTCGATTAAGACTAAAACAATGCGAAGGGAAACGCATTGTGGCCAGCAACGTTACAAACGTTTAATGAACTGGCCAATATTATACGAAGACCGGCTATCTTTGGAATTTGCTCGAGTGCAAAGTAGGCTCAGTCGTGGTCAGATGAGTGTCATGCCTACGCGCACGCCTACGCGAAAATTACCCGTTCGTTTGAAAATTTGCCGTTATTTGTCGTTATGCAATAGTGTTGATAACTGAACTAAAACCGGTTCGCTTGTACGAACTTCGTGATTTCGAAGTTCAGTGATAAGCGAAAAACGAAAAATCGTCAAAATCAGAATTCGCTTATTTACCACTCTTGTGCGTCATGATAAGGCCGAATAACATAGTCACTCCGTCGTTATCAACAACGATCAATTCTTACTTTTTGTTGCTGTTGACTAAGCGATAATATCGATTAGCATCACATAAGCACAAATATCCACCAAAGCATCCAGCAAAATTTCACTTTATTTACATTTCAGGCGCAACATTTTTTTAGTTCATTTCATTGAGTCATGTTATAGAATACTATGAGAATACGAAAACATTATCGTCAGAAAAATTTTCGTTGGTTAGTGCAAGCTGACCAAATTCACTAATGTCAGGCAGTTTCATGTTGGTTCTTCAGTTGTTTCGCTGCCAATATCCCTTATCCCAAAGAACGCCACTAATGCCCTACTGCACTCAACAAGCGAACTAACTCACCTCACTCGAATGCAGTGTCTCAGCTTGCGATGAACTTGATGTTCCTCTCACTTTGCTTGCTGATGAAACTTCCTCGTGACTTGCATCACCATCGTTCATAGCATCATTATGCTTATCTTGAAGTGTTGAAGTCGCCTCTGAACCAAATTCTTCTGGTGATTGTGGTCGACCAGAATCGTCATCATCTTTGCGCATTAGTTTTTTCGACGTTGACGAATTCACAACGAATGAATCGTTTAAGTTTTCTGAAAGCTGTTTCCTGCGTGGCTGTTTGCTCAGCATGTTTTATTTTTGAATTAACAACTTAACCGACAATGACAGATCACAGTTTTGGTTAGCAAACGAACTCGAAATCAATCAAAAGCGTTTCCGTTGAACATGGTAAATTCGAAGAGAATCTATGAATCATATAATCATTTTATGGATCGTTACGTCGTTTCCCTTTCACAGAATCATTTGAGCGTGTCGTTGTGTCCTCTTTGACATTGATCGTTTGCCTGTTTCGAGTTAATGTCATTCGCTTTCTAATTTTGACGCGATGTGGACGTTCAATTGAATTATTGCGTAATGGAGATAAATGTCCATTTGAAGGCGATTTCGTTCTGTCTGCTGCAATATTTCATCTTGGACAATGAATTGGATATTTCGTACAGTTATCATTTTGGAGTTCCATTCAGAATGTGAACAACTGGTGATGTTGAAAAAGAGAACATGTCCTTTAAAATTAGTTAACGGCTGAAATCATGATTTGATGGAAGATTATTCTTCAAAACATAGCGGTTGACTTTCATTTCTACAAAAGCGTTGCGAGGCTGCATAAACGAGGTGATAGTCTAATTCAACGCGAATTGCTACATTAACCTTCTTTCGTTATTTCTTTTTGATGAAATAGCAAACATTTTTAGTGATAGTCTCGAATTGTTAAAAGATACGATAATCACAATGGATGGTAATGAGTGAGATACATGAACGATATGCAACTAAAATTTTCTACATCAATATCAGAAATAAGGGATTCATAACAGTGAGTGATTTTCAATGTAATATAATTTCATTTACACATGGCGAAGTTTCTCGCAGAACTCGCATTGGAAGTTGATTTGATCGTTTTCTCATCCGATATTGGAGGCAGAGAAATGGTTCTTGTAGTAATAGATTGCCTCTTGAAAATTGGTTTCTCATGACGGGGCACAGCCAAAACACGCGCTTCATTCATTGACATCAGTTCATCGACAGAAATTATTCGGCGACCAGCATAAGTGTAAATTTTAAAAATTGCAATCTGAAGACAGAACAATTGCGATCACTTTTGAGAACGTGAAAATAAGAGTAGTGATAACAAAATTAATAATAATAGTAGTTGTAAACATATCATTATTGATGTCGTTATCATTAATTATTTAAAAAATCATTATCACTACCACTAGTCATCTAAGTACCGCCACGGTGGGAATAGCACTGGCAATAAAAACATTTACTTTCATATATTCAAAAGAAAAAATAACACTCCATTCATTTCTTAGTGCTCAATTTAAACTTTACGAATACCAATAAGTTACCGAATCATATAACACCATTATGAATTTCAATCACAGAAAGTATTGGGTAGCAAATAGAGTATCAAATAATTTTGATTAAAGGAGATGATTCAGTAATACTGAACGACACTTAATTGTTTTTCGTCCACAACATATTTTCAGTTTACAACAAACTGAAGAAACCCATAATTCACGAGGCTGAAGAAATAATATGATCGCATAAACCATAATAGCGCTATCATAATTCATTTTAAGGAAAATTCGTGCGTTGTCATGAAATTGTGGAAGAATGATTCGTTCACTTTTTTTTCTTTTATCCCTAATCTAAGGCCGATTGGATTCAATTTAATCTTAACATTTGTCTTTGATGGTAAACAAATGAACATCGTCAAATATAGTACTAACCTGCAAACCCTGAGAAACTTCTTCAAGTAAAGCATCAAACGTTTTCATTTTCAACGGGTTTAAAAGAGCACGATAGATTCGAGATGGCTTACCATTGAGCACAAATAACATCTTAATGAGTGACAATTAATGCTCTGTTTCGGAAAAAGTGAATAAGAAAGCAAATGATACAGTACCTGTTTCGCTGTAGTAGGAAGATACGACAGTCCCAACGAGCGAGACATCCTGAGTTTAGCATTGAAACTGGGCGACGTCGGCAACTGAACGGTTCATCATTAGAGAACAAGAATACAATGTGAATTGAAACAGAATGTCTCGTTCAGTACAAGATAGGCAGTACATGGTTACGATCATGAAAATATGGAATGAAATTGGAATATTGATTTATAAGAAGTAACCCAAAATGATGTGCCTTCAACGCGATTCCGTCGGATTTGTTGATGCTGTTCCCCACGTGTTCGTTGCACTCGCTCAATGGCTGCAAAATTCAGAGGCCTTGGTGCTTTTGTTGACGATGCTACGTATCTGTAAAGTGGAACAGTCACAGTAACACCACTAATGCTTTGTGCTATATGCACATTCTTTCACATTTAATTGACAAAATAGCGCTGCCAATTCCACTGAACACATCTACGTGTATTTCATTCGTGCGATGAGTTCGCTCGCTCGAAACTCTAACGAAGAAAAGACCATTATTTCATTAATACAGTTATTCACCTGCCGAGATGCTGAAGTTGATCAATGCTCTTTATTGGCGTTCTTCCATGTGGTGTTGTCAAACGCCGCACACCAAAAGGCATTTGAATGTTGCTGTTAAGATCATCTAACAGTGATTCCATATTACGATATCGTGATTTCGATACCGGTATACGAACGCCCTAGAAAAGGCTAAAATATCAATAATCACAGATAAGCGTTTCTCAATTTAAGCTTCGGTTCAAAATGAGTCTCCCTTTCGACCAGTTTTTTAACCAGATAACTTCACAGTATGCTGTGGACTCTTTCAACTAGTACAACTGTTTGTTTCGTTGGAAGCATACTTCTATAGGAAAGCATACTTCCGCATCATATCAACCAAACATTTTGTTGGGTGTATAGCAATTTGAGAATTATTTCTAGCGAATTACTGTCGTTGGCCTGTGAATAAGATGAAATAATAATGTCAGAATGCACAGTTACGATCATATAAATGAAAACCTTCAATGCTTCAGGCTGCATTATATCATTTCATTTAAACACATACTATAGGACTATTGATTGAGTCAAATTGCGCAACTTCATTTGCACCGGAATATCGCTCCAGTTCAAGCAGAAGTTCGTTGAGAAGAAATGGAACGGTAACGTACAGTGAAGTAAACATCGCCCTCTTTGTAAAAGTAGACTGTTTTCGCAGAGTAAGGTCTTGTGAAGGTTCGATGTGAGCAGTCATACGTTTTGATTTTACCGTTAACTGGATCAGGTAAATTCGGTAAACGCGTTGCTGACCGCGATGTTGGAGCACCCATTGTTGAGGAACGTGAAGACGACTGAAATCGACTGAGTCATTTTAAGTTTCCTCGAGATTCAGTGAGTGTCTGTTTAAATTTGAACGTTCAATCATGTTGGGGATCCGATTCCCGGAAGCTTGACTTTGATCTTTGCAACTGATCATTAATGAAAACGATCTCATGCTTAATGAATCCATTTGTTGTCGTTTCCTTACGTCTAGTTGAGCAATAAATGAGGCAAAAGTAGTGATTAGTGAAGATCGGGCACAAACTGATTGTGGATGACATATAAGTGAATGTCAAAAATGTAATAAATCAATGATTATGATGAATGTAACTTGATTGAGATGAATCCGAATGATATTATCGTGCGTTACACGAAATTATTTCGCAATGCTACATGAAATAACTATGTGTTATTTATTACATGTGATCGTTTCAGAGTTGTTTTCATCGCAAATATGTATCTAAGTAGTTGTCATAGTAATAATGAATGAACGATCACCATCCCATCGTTATGAAACGCCCACAAAAACTAATTCAATTCAGATTAAAGCGAATTAAAGCGAAAGAACACGTTCACTGAAACCAGCGAAACTTAAACAAGTAGAGCGTCAGTTATATTATGCTACCATTGTTATGACTGTACTTCATCATTATAGCTCAAGTTTGACCTGTTTTTGTATACTAATTGCGAGTACAAGAGATAATGAATCAAAGCTCAAAGCCTTTTAGAGTCTACAGTAAATTTTTTCGTCACGAAAAATATATTTGTGAATGCTACTTCGCTGCTTAAGGCTGAGAATTAATTTTCTGCCATTATTATTAAAACTTAAAGCATCAAATTTTCTAATTGTAAGATAGGCAGGGTCTGAGCAGCGTTCTTAACTCGCTGGACCGAATGCAGTGATACTCGATATTAAATTACGAGATGGAAATACCAGAATGAGGCGTGAACATAAGTTCGAAAATGAGTTATTGGCTCAGACTTAGCTCTGAGAGTGCTACAAGAAGGCCGTGTAATTATGATGCAATACACAATTACAATACAGTTTATACCAATTAAATTGTTTCGAATTTGGGTAATACGATTGCAAATTCCTACCAACCTCTTGGTATATACATTGGTAGATGACACTCCTCCGGAAAAGTGGACTTTCGCCGAAATAATTGAATTTGAATGAAAGCGCACGAACTTATGCACCAACCCAATACGTTTGTAATAATCGTAAAATAAGAAGAATAAAATTCTACAGGCAGTATAAGTGCTTAATCTCTAAACTCATTCAGAAGTCAGGAGCAAGCAGGAGACAATTGTCTTAGTGCGTACTGAAATTGAAGTATTGCTATAAACTAATATTGATGAGTCAAATAGGTGAGCATAAAAATACAAATGAAATTCAATGAAAGATGCTATTTTACGTTCGTTCAATCTCAGTTATAAGATGTGCGAATTCCGAATTTATTTTATAATTAGAACTGCAAGAAATCGAATGACACAGTCTTCATTGGAAGCTGTACAATAATCGAGTGACAATATTTGTCAGCACCAATGACTGATGTTCATTGAGAAGTTCAAAAAGACAACAGAAAAAGCATGCGATCTGCAAAATTACTTTATCAAAGATATTGCTGCAACCTATCGCAGCATTACTTTTGCGTTTTGCTGAATATCCTGATGATACTCATAAGCAGCATTCATGAATATTACGAGTACAAATCTATACATAAGAAGTTTCGTCTTGCACGTATGAAATTCAATGACATGATTCCTTAAATGTGAACATCAAACAAAATTGATTCCAATCTTCGAAGACTTTTGTTGGAGAGAATTTTTAAGTATTCTTCAAGTAATGCTGAGTTGATTTCAGAAATTTTCAAGCAGTTGTCGCCTTTAGTGTCAAAAGGTCGTAAGAAAAATTGTGAGGCATCAATTGTTTATTCTGTACTGATCAGAAGTGGCTGTTAGCAGTTGCCCAGGTCAGAGTGAAAAAGATAATAAAATTACAATTCGTTGTTGGAAAAAAGAACATGATAATAACGATAACAAATTATTATTATGATGAACGTTGATGATTCAACTGACTCAACGAAGTCGATAATTTAGCGGTCATCATGCATCATCGCCTTCTGGTTGCATACTATCGGAAGGAGTCGTAATGCTAGATAGCAAAACTCAATATTTCATTTCAGCGACTCAGTTAGCATATACTTTTAGAAACCAATTTACTTCTGATTATGCAATTCCTTAAGTCACACCTGCATAAAGCACTCATTGTTTAGCGAAATCCTTTATTGGCTCTTTACGCATTCATTACGTATTCAACTCTGTTCCATTCTAAAACTGAACATCCATGGTTTAGACGGCTATTTTTTACATGAAGAACTCTAGATGAGTACAATGAGTGCAATAAAAATTACCCAAGGCAATGTTGTTTCACCGTTTTCACTCATATTCAACAGATTATTCGTACCTGCAATATTACATAAGTGTTTACACAAACAATAAGAGTGCACATGCTAATGAATACACCAAAATGCATTTTAGTGATAGTCATTGAAACAATATATTGAATGGTCAAAATAAATAAAAAAAATCTTTGAACCATGTACGAGATAGTTGGTGATTAAATGAACTCATGAACGGGGGTTTGAATCAATTCAATCACAAAAACGTAGTACGATTTTCAGAAGAATTAGCATATCACGTGTTCATGCATTGGAGATGAATTGAATGAATTGGGCACAGGTATATTGTATAATTAGTAATGCCACGCATGTATTGTTATTCAAAAAAGATCAATTATGTTATCAGCAGCATCGAATTTTCACGGCTCGAGAGATGTTTTAGGAAAACGGCTGTGTCATTATGCTGGAATAATTCTGATCTGAAGCAGGAAAAGTATTCCTAAAAAAAACTTGATTTCATCAAGTAACTGTGACAAGACTCAATTGTTTGCACGAATGAAGAAGACAGCAAAGCAAGTCGTTTAATTAACTGGTTAACTGCAGATAATGTGAACTGAACATACTGCTTGATTGTTGACGATTGATTGCAGAAGAGATGCTGCTTGATGATGATTTAATGTTCAGGTGTAGCTTGCTTAACTATATGGCGAGATGAATGCTGCTCATATGTGCTCGTTTATGTGAATAACGCACGCAATTCTGTGAATTCAACTGAACGTTCGGAATTGTAGTTTTATCAGTAATGTTTATTTGCGTGAGTGTCATGAAGACCACCGCATACGGAGGGCGTGGCGCTTGTTCGACTTCCATGACGACGAATCGTAAAAATTCATCACCTAGTGTATACGATGTGGAAGGAGGAAAATAGCTGAGATTTTATTGACCCTCTATAAGAATCACATTTTTATTGATATGCTGGAATGATAGCAAGAAATAAAGTGAGAAAAATCACGATCAAACAAAAATCGAGAACTTATCTACGTCTGAGAATGAGATTACCAAATTTGATAATCATCTTCTGATGGAAATACTGTGTTTTGGTGCTGGTCTCATTGATGTATGGAAGTTTGGGCATCTCAGCATTTTTGATTTCCAGAAAGCTTCGGATGTATTACTTGGGGGCATTAGCAAATTGCTATTCAATTGTTAAGATTTCATAATCAGTATATCACTGAAGAATGAGTGAGAAAAGAACGATCCATCAAGAACGTTCCAATTAGGTGGATGAGAGCAACAATCGAAGTACAATGTGATAATCTCATAAACTGTGTCATCAGTGGTGACCTTTCTATTGCAGCTGAAATGTTGTACAGGACTGCCTAAAATGAAAGTGTAGAATACATCAGAACAGAACAGATGAAGAGAGTAAAACAGAACAAAACAGCACGTCAAGACTGTGCAAAAGAGGACATCACTACCCATGATGTTGGGAATAGCAAGAATATAAAATAGCTCTAGGAATGAAAAAAGTTAAATCAAAGAAATTTCATCTTTCAGGAACCACAATGGAATCCAAAACCACACTTTGTATTAATCTAATATTCAGTCAACCACTCATCTTCAACAGCAGTTTTCATAGGCAACAAATTAGCTATCAAACATTGATTTAGTTGAGGACAACTCAGTCTTAAACAGCAAATTTCTTTAACTTTCGATTCATAAATAAATGCGCCAAAATATCTCTGCACTAAAATAGTTTTGCACCAAAACGTCCGCTTCCAAATTTAAGGCTGGACGGCTCGGAAAATAACATGATGTCATCGATGATGAGAGGAAGTTCCGTTGACCATAAGATTCGGAAGGTCTCCAGTTCCAGATCAAAGGACGAAAGCTTCCGCAGAATGCTATGTAATTAGCTACCCGAAGTGAAAACGTGAAGCACCATTAACCTTCTCAATTGTGTTCCTTTGTTTTATAAGTACTTCATTCAGTAACCACAGCGTTTTCAACAATTCAAATACTGATTGACGACTGAATGTTGATGGTTTATTATTTAATATTGCCTCGGAATACTTGCACTTGTCAGGCCACTTCGGAGTATTCATGACGTATTTCTATTTTTGTAATTTTTTATTTGTAAACAATTTTTCTAGTAAACAATTTCTATTTGATCACCAGCCGTTTATCACCATCAATGAATTCAGGTGTTCCTTGTGGTATATAGGTGATTTTATAACCTTTTATGCTGCGAGTATGCTGACCATCTTGTTTGACTGCTTTGCTGTCTCAATGAACCGTTTCAAATATGTGCACAAAATGGAGAACCGAAAAAACAGTGATTTGAATTGCTCACGAAACATCAGCACATGAATAATATTGAGTTCTTCAGAACGGGCGCAAAAATTATCAACTGATTCGGTATAAATTGTTTTTATAAATCGGTATAGTTTCGATATTCGCTAAATTCGATAACTGGTTCTCAACAGTTTTGTTATTTTTTGTTATATCACGTGTCGTGAATTCGGTACAAATTGACGAATTCCGGGTAAATTTTCAAGTTGTGCTGTACTCTTTAATGAGACATGCTCCCACGTGTCAGAGATAGTTTT